CAGGACGTATACATCTGAATAGTCGTCGCCTAGATCTGTGAAGGTGGGGGCGGAATCAGGTCCTCTCGCCCCTCCCAAGTATGGACGTGCTCCTCTAGCCATGATACAAATGCGTCGTCCGCCCTCGAACGATCATCCCGCTAATAATGTAAAGCCTCCCATGTTGTCCCCCTCGGTATATTTTGCGGATGGCCAAATTGGCGAAGTACCCGCTCAGTGACATGATGCTCCAAAATATCGAGGCACATCAGCGGGACAAAAGTGCTCCAAACCAATCAGCCGTCCGAGTAATAATCGGGCAGGCCACCTATCAAGTCGTCATTGTATGGCGTCTAGATGAACTATCAAATAATAACATAAAAGTGAGTATGCGCAGTAAATTTATAACAAGTAAGTTTAGGTACACATTTACCTGTGCGCCCTCCAGCATATCCAACACATCTCTGACAAGGGGGAGATTATGATGAGCATCAATGGCTTGGTAATTTCCACGCCGGAGAACCCACCTCGTAGCTAGAGGGAGAAACGGAGGTGCTACATCCGGAGGTAATGGTGGTAGAGGTGGATGCAACGGCAAGAACTGCTCCCAGGCCCAAACCTAACATACAAGTTTAACGTAAAGTTTAAGAATTTTTTTAACTAGATAGAATTGGAAGTAATGAACAGAGTATTCGAATATGTTGTCACCTGTAGAAGCGGCATAAAACCACATATGTTGCTCTGGGTGCCCATGCTTGCCCGACACATATTCCTGTACAGGTAAGCGAGAACAACAGCACCCTAGTTGTACTGGGGTAAATCATCTAGCTGCTGAAGATGATGCAGAAATCGCAAACTCACTAGATATCCCGAAGTATTCGGGAACAAGACACCCCCAAAAAGAAGGAGCAACACCAACCTCGTGTACCGGTGAATATGTAGATCATCTGTCTCACCGGTGATGTCGTGGTGCAATATCTCCAAATGTTGTCTAATAGCTGTCAAAGTCATGCGACTGACCCCTGAAGCTGCAGTCTCATCCTGTGGCCTGAAACCAGTGAACTGCTGCAGCAAGTCAAAATACTGAGCACGCGACATAGATCTCATATACTGAGGCAGTGCAACGGCCAGTCCATTAGAAGGCAGCCCATATAAAACCTCAATATCCTGTAGCGTGATGGTGGCCTCGCCAATGGGCAGGTGAAATTGTGAGTCTTTGGTCACCACCGCTCTATCAAGGCCATGATCGGAGACTAGTCGAGCTGCAACCGCCCAATTTGAAAAATCTTATAGAAGCCTGTATCCCACAGGCGCTGGACTACACGGGGATGGAAATCTCTGCCCCTCATAAAGTCCCACAAGTCGTTCACTCTCCTGGCATGGAGAGTCTGGTCCAGTAGCTCTCCCTCCCATACGTAGGCGGACCTATGACCGCCTTGTAATACTAATAGCTTATCCGAGAGAGGTCCAGGATGCACAGGCGGCAGGCACGTCCATGTCGTCTACTGTAAATGAAACAATATTTTTGTTTTGTAAATAATTAATATTTAATTATTTAATTGGACAGAGTATATATCTATGGGTTCCAGGCTCGATATTTGAGTCCCAGTAGCACCAAGCTATCATGAATTCTTATGTGTGTCAATTTCAATATTTTTCATAATTTTGTGTGTTTTATAAATTAAATAATTAATTTTTCATTGGACAGCGTATATATCTATGGGTTCCAGGCTCGATATTTGAGGCCCAGTGGCACCAAGCTTTCCTTAATTCTTATGTGTGTCAAATTCAATATTTTTATAATTCTATGTGTTTGTTTTGAAAATTAAATAATTAATTTTTAATTGGACAAAGTATATACCTATGGGTTCCAGGCTCGATAGTTGAGGCCCAGTAGCACCAAGCTATCCTGAATTCTTATGTATGTCAATTTCAATATTTTTCATAACTCTGCGTGTTTGTTTTATAAATTAAATAATTAATTTTTGTAAATTGTAATTAGACCGAGTTTGTGTTTGATCTATCAATATAGTAGATATTTAAAATTCAGAGATTCTACGCTAAAAGGCTCTACATTTTACTACGCTAAAATGCTCTATATTTTCTACGCTAAAAGGCTCTATATTTTATTACGCTATAAGGGCACTAGTCTTTAAGCAAATAAATAACCTAAACTAAATAAAAACAACAAACATATTTTAATAACATAACATTCACGAAATTACATATAAAACAGTAAAAGAAATTTATGAACATTTTTATTAACAAGAAAACTTATTTCTCAACATTTAACTATTTTTTTAAAATACTAATATCTTAATCCGGATAAAAATAACATACTAATTTAATCGCAAAAGAAACACAAAATAATATGGAAACACATTCAAGACAATTAATATGCATTATTATACGAGTTTCGACATAAACTAAATCGGAATACTTCGATTTATGTTTTTAGAAAAGTCGAAAAATTGAAAATTTGATCCCGAAACGAGGAAACCACAACAATAGAAGGCTTGGGTTGGATGCGGGACCTACAATCGTATCTTTTTGTGTGATGGGTGGGGTCCACTCAAATTTTTTGGAGAAAAAGAGGGGGGGGGGGCGTTGTATCGTATTTTAAAAATGGGGCGTATGTTTCTATTGTGGGGAAGAAGAAGGGCTCTTTATTTAACATGTATAGCGCGGTATAATATTGCGTTATATATAATGCGGTATTATACCGCATTATATATAACGCGTTATTATACCGTGCTATACTTTAATGGTAGAAAGGTATTTTGAGTCCAAAAAGTTGGCATTTAGGTTTCGGAATTACGAGCACTATTTACTTAACTAGTCTTAGGGTACGCGCTTTGCACGTGTACCTATATCAATAAATATATAATTTTAAAAAATTACGTAAATATTATTAAATAATGTGTTTGAGTTAAATATTAAAAAATATAAGTTCCTAAAATTAATGCATGTTAATCACATTAAGCTAGCTCAATAAAACAAAGAAATCCTACTCCACATAAGTTTTTATATACCTTATTATAATTTATGAGGAGTGAAATATCTTCTAAAAATTATTGTTATCTTTATTACCAAATACTATAAACAAATAACACATAAAAAAATAATTTTACCATAATTATGTAAAGATAACCAAATAAATTAAAATTTTGAATCTTTTGATCATTTAGAAATTTGCTGAGTGATGAAGTAGAAGTATTGCTCCTAGAAAAATATTGATAAATAACAATATAAAATTTTAAATAACCAATATTGAATTATAAAAAATAATGTAGTACTACACTAAAAATTATAGAAAGTAATCATTTAAAGAAAAATAATAATGATAGCTTCTTTTGAATAGCTTTTGTCTTATGTTACATCCGTAATGCTTCAAACGTAGCATTTTAGCAATTTAACTTTTAATACTATATTATAATAAATTTTTGCTCTATCTTTCTTTCATGGCTGATGCTCTTTTTGTGAATAAATTTGTGTATATTAAAAGTTTTATCAACTTGATAAATAATTTTACTTACCTAATGATTTTGGGAAAAAATGGATTAATTTTTTTACTAATTTATTAATTCAAAGACTTGATTATTTGTTGAGATTTCATGCTTTTGTGATCGTGTAGAAGATACAAATTATTCTAAACTTTTTTTTTCCTACTCGAACAATATATTATTCGTGTAATATTTAAAAACTACATTTAGTAATTAAAATATATATTTAGTTAGGTAAAAAATCTCTTGCTTTTAATAGTACATCTCATTAGAATTGTAAGTTCCCCACTAAGAAGCATGAATGTGAAACATATTTCCATTGAAATTCGTCAGATATACAAGGAAAAGAAAATATTAATATTACTCCTATTTCCCCAAATAATATCTACGTTAAAGACCTTAATACAATAAATTTTGTCCATGGTTGAAAAGAAACTTACCTTTTACTTTTTATATTCTCTTCTTTTTTTCTTAATATATTTTATTCTTATTTAGTTGAATTCGAACTCCTAAATATTAGGTAATAATTAAATTTTTACTTGATTTTAAAGTGCTAAATATTAGGAAAGCAAACTTAAATTACATATATGTCCAACGTGAAACTTATTTTAAAAGGGTAAAAAAAGCGAACAACATTTTGCTAAGGGCCTTCGTGCTTTTAATATAGTACTAGTCTTAGTGTATGCGCTTTGCGCATGTACTTAACTCAATTTATTTTTGAGTCATAAAATAAAAATATAAGTTCTTGACAATAATAAATATTGGTCATATATAATTAATAAAAAATAAAACTTCTCCACAAAAATACTCAATCACCGGTCAAATAATTTAACTTAAATGCATTCCAAAAACACTACTAGAAAATGGCTATTTTGCGACTGTAAAAACAGTCAGAAAATGCTAATTTCCGACTACATTCAGACCAAAAAGTCGTAGTCGCAAAATAGCTAGTCTGAAATAGTTTGCGACCGAATCCGTCCGTAATTTGCGACTGCAGCGGTCGCTAAGGCAAAATAGAAAAAGGACTAATAAATATGCTAAAGTTTTTGACTGACGCGGTCGCAAACATGTTAAATTAAATTTTAATTTTATATTAACTTTTCCACTACTTCAGTCGCAAACGGTATATATAATTATAATAATATTTAGTTTTGTTTGAGTTTTTCCACTATGGTGGTCGCAAATCTAATTTTTAATTATTTATTTATTTATCCTTCCGACTACTGTGGTCGCAAATCTAATTTAAAACTATTTATTTATTTGTATTTCCGACTACAGTAGTCGCAAATGTTCCTGAATCTGGAATATTTTGATGCATTTTGCGACTACTATGGTCGGAAATAAGTCGGAAAACTGGGAATTTTATGCCAAATTCCAGCACTTTTAAAGCAATACCACCTACCAATTCAAATATACAACAACCAATTAATCTACCATGACAACCAATCAATCCACCATTGCAACTAATCAAATTCATAAAATGCAAAACATAAATATTTGTAACTAAAACATCCAAAAAGAGTTAAACATTGTGGCACCATTCAATCTAGTCTAAAATATTAGAATCATAGTCAAGTGTAAATATTACCAAGTCTAAACATCCAACTACAACAAATAATAATGTCTCAAACATCAATAACCATAACAAACTAAAACTCATTATCCCCGCCATCCTCGCCATTCGAAGGACCAAATGGACGTCCGTTCATAAATTTCTCCACTAGACTGTAATTTGTTAAAATTTGCGTGATCTTTTTTCCGTTCCTCCTTCAACACTTCAACTTCTTTTCGTAATGCTTCCACCTCTTCGTGATCTTGCGAATAACTCGCATCACTAGACAACAATGTCGTAGAACGACCTACAGAATATTGTGATCCAAGACCATAAGTTCTACCTTTCTTTGCGCCACCAACCACCTGCGTCCATATTGAAGTTACATTATTGAGTGACACTTGGGTTGAGCTACCATCCTCGGAATCGGGTTGACTTTGATGTCATTCCTCAAAACATTGCTGATAGGCTTCCTGAAATTATGGAGTCAAACCGATTCTTGAAGAAATTAAAATGTACGTTTCATAGTTTTCCGATGAAGCATGTATCTATAAAAATACAAACACACATAAACAAGGAAGGAAATGATGCAAGTATGATGAAAGTAAAATTTAAGAAGAAAGAAAAAACTTATACTTAAGCAACAAACATTACTTTTTCCATTTTTTCTAGCTCATGCTTCCTTCTTTTTCCTTTACTATTTCTTTCTTCCCCAATTAATGCCATGATCTTTCTTTATTTTTTTTGAATTCCTCCAATCCACTTCTCATTCATTAATGTCAAGAATCATTTCTTAGGGAAGCACTACAGGATCTTTTTCTCAAACTACTGCTACTTCTGAGAGCCAACATCCATTATAAAAGTACATGGATATGTGAGTCTACATGAAGAAATTCTGCATGCCAAAACCAGAGGCAACAGATGCACAATTACAAGCCAATATAGACTGGATATGTACTAATCAAGGTGTGGACTGGATATGTACTAAGAAGCACTTGGAAGTTGGAAATTAGAGTGATAGAAGATTATTTTATTTCCTCAAGGAAAATGCTTACAACAAAACCATGTTAACATCTACGAATTTTTGGGGATGTGTATCTAGACATAAATAATCACATGTTTTACAACAAAACTATTTTAACATCTACGAATTTTCGGGGATGTGTATCTAGATATATTACTTGATAGAGCAAAATTTGTTATAGCTGCATAAGTCCTTGGTGACTTAATGTATAACCAATTTTTGTATTCCCTTATATTTGAATGATTTGTTTATAAAAAAGTCCAACCTCATGAAAAATGCACTTATTCTGTGCAAATTTTCAGTCAGTGCATTTCTATGAAACAAAAGGAAGGTTAATGTTTCCATGCTTCTCCATCTGACGGATGACACAAAATACCAGGTGGCCTTCTATTTTCATAGTGCCATCTCATATGAGGAGCAAAGCTCATTGATGCATACAACCTCTTTAACGTAGGTATAAGGGGTAAGTAATGCATCGCCTTAATTGGAACCTTCTTCTTTTTTTATGGCTTTCTTGTAACGAGGTTGGTTATTAAATTTGCAATTTTCTAAGGCTACATCATCCTTATAGAATAACATGCAACCTTTCTCACAAGGTCAATCCTCTCTGATGAAAGTCCTAACTTAGAAACCAATTTCTTTGCTGTGTAGAAATCTTTGGGTAGGTCAATTTTATTCGGATTAAGTTCATTCATAAGGCCAATGATAGAGTCCATGCCTGCTTGAGAAATACTTGAATCTGATTTAATACTTAATCATCTAACTGCAACAGACAACTTAGAATGCATTGAGCCTTTATACAATGGACGACTTGCTTCCTCTAACTGTTCATAGAAGCGCCTAGCATCATCATTTGGTTCAGACTGAGCCCCCGGATGCATCACAAAAGCATCCCTAACCATTTCACTGAATCAAGAATTTTCAGCATTATTCTTTGCTAATGGACTACCCTCACTATCAAAAATTTTTGACAATCGACGTTACCAACACTAGCAACATCCTCTCCATGAATAGTCTACACGTAATAATTTTTCATAAACCCTTTTTTATAAAGATGAACTTTAACAACATCTGGTTGTAATAACTTTCCGCATTTGCATTTCATATAAGGGCACCCAATCACCCCTTCACTGAGAAATTCATGAAGTATTTTTGTTTTAGCCATAAATTCGGCAACCCCTTCTATAAATTCCTCCCTCAACCCACTACGATTAGGATAAGTTCGATTATACATCCATCTACGATGTGCAAGCTCCATCTACACAAAATAAATCCAAGATATGTAAAACAAAACATATTAATTAGTATTATGATTGTTTAACACAAGCCATCTATACAAATACATTATAATTACAAATACATTCTAATTGCAAACCACATTTTCTAAGAGATTCCATTTCGTAACTAGCTACTTACAATACTTTCCATGGAACTTATCTGGAAAACACAATCAGAGAAAGATGAAAAATTTATAGAAAAAAATAAAAATGTAACTAGGTACTTAAATATTCAGCACAATCTTAGTGCTGCTTAAACAATAAAATTGTACTTTTACCAATCAAAAAAAGAAAACATCTACCCACAACTCATATGTTAACCTATAAGTTTGCGCATATGATCTCACAGATGCAGCTGGGCAAATACACTACTTCTTTTTTCTGATAATAATATTTTCGGTGAGAAATTAATATTTTTCTAGTAGTGAGTACTGTATGTTATGGTTATTAGGTCACTATATACTCCGATCTCGTTGCATTTACTCTCTATCCTCAGTACCCCATATCATCTCACAACACTCATTTTAAATGAAATAAGACCTATAAACTTTCCTGATAAATTGAAATTTGACCAACATCTTTAAATTTTACTTGCAACTTAAAGGATCTAAAAAGGAAATAACAATTAATTTAATCAACCAATATAACTAAATTCTGTATGTTCAGGACTCAATATCTAAAGCATGAAGTACATTATGTGGGGGATTTTAACATTAGCAGTTTTCAGGAATACGAATGAGTATTTGAGAAGAACTCTGATATATAATTGAACTTCAAAAATTAATAAAGTGAGACTTGCCAAATATCATATTATGAGCAGGACATTAGCAGTTTTCAGGAATACGAATGAGTATTTGAGAAGAACTCTGATATATAATTGAACTTCAAAAATTAATAAAGTGAGACTTGCCAAATATCATATTATGAGCAGGACATTAGCAGTTTTCAGGAATACGAATGAGTATTTGAGAAGAACTCTGATATATAATTGAACTTCAAAAATTAATAAAGTGAGACTTGCCAAATATCATATTATGAGCAGGATTTAGGAGATAACAATTTAGAGAATAGTTTACACCAATTTAGACGATAATTTATTCAATCAACTGAAACTTTTCTCTTCTTACATACTGAATATTATAAAAAGCTTCTCTTATTTGGAAGATAGAAAATCAAAGCAAATAGAAGATACTGAAATATAAGTGAAACAGAAATACAGTACGGAGAAATACACAACAACTTAACAACTCAAAAATACGGAACAAAACAAGAAAAACCACAAATAAATGAAGCATGAGGGATTTGATCAAACATACCTCGAATTTCAGCAAAGAAATTGGGTTCTGCGACCTCAAAAGAGAAACCTCCAAATTTGCAACTGATGGAAAAATGGATTTGAGAAACCCCCGAATTCAACTGACGGATTTGAGATATAAAAAGGGAAATAAAAACTTAGTGAGTGATTAGTGATTTACCTGGGACGAGAGATTGAAGAACGGTCGAGCAGAGAGAGAGGCGGTCGAGCAGAGAGAGAGATAAATGAAATTGGGGAAATAGGGGTTTGTTGTGAAATATTAAATTAATATTACTGACCATCTTAGTCGCAAACTCACTTAATATTCTTTTTATCATTTTGTATTTTAGTTTTGCGACCGACACAGTCGCTTAGTGGGTAACCTGATATTTTAACTTTTCAATGTCCGACTGAATCGGTCGCAAAAGTGAAGGCGGGAAATTGGCGCGCTGTTTTTCCACTGCCTTTATCGGAATAATAGTCGATTTTTCTTTTTAAAAATAAGTAATAAAAATTCAATTTTTTCCGACCACTGCTGTCGCAAAAGCAGTCCCATTAGCGACTACTTCATTTTCGGTCAGAAAATTCGGTCACAAATTGATGTTTTTCTAGTAATGAAAATGACTGAAGTTAGAACCGCAAGTGTGTATTTAGTTTGGCAGTATCATTATTCAAGTGAGATTAGTATTTAAATAATACTAATTAGCTAGCTTAGACCAATTTTTAAGCATTTATTTGCAATTATATTTTAATTCGAGAAGAAATATTTGTCAAATAGTAAGAAACCGATAAGGTGAAAAATCATCCATGCATGACATATTCCAAAAAAAAAAAAAAAGAAAATGATATTCTTTGTAAATCTCAAAAATTTAAGAATCACTTTGTACCATAAATAAAGTCTACAATTAAAATCCTCTTTAGATCAACTAAATTTAATACTATCTAGAGAAGTTAAAAGATATCATAAATTATATTGTTGGAATAATTGATAATTTTGTAATTTGTTATTGGTTTTTGCTCAATATTCCAAATAATTGTAATTGCTAATTTAAATCTTTGAAAACTAATATAACATAGTTACATAGAATACAATTGTTAGTGGAATAGTCTCCTGTATATTTTTCGATATTTTAATATAGAAGATTTTCACAAATATCAGAACATATACAAGTTTTAAAAAAGTCGACCACTACCATATTATCCAAAGCTAAACGTACTTCATCCTTCTTTAATATAAGGTAAAACATTAATGATTTTAAAGTAGAATATTTAATACAATTCAAATAAGGAAAAAATTTATAATAACAAACTCCTAAATGTTAGGGAATTAATTAAATGTCTATTTTTAAATATTAAAAAAATAATTAATTACTATTTTATCCAGTGTATGCTTTACTTTAAAAGGGTAAAAAAAGCGAACGACATTTCGCTAAGAGCCTTTGTGCTTTTAATATAGTACTAGTTTTTAGAGTACGCGCGTTGCGCGTGCATCCTATGTCAATGAGAATTTTTCCTAAAAAAATATTGTATAAAAATTATATTAAAAATGTGTTTATGTTATAAAAAAGTATAAATTCCTGAAATTGATGAAAGTCTATATTATATAGCTAACTCAATAAATAAAAGAAATTATAGCCCATAAAAGTTCTCAGTCATCATCCAATATATTCAATTTCACAAGCTATTATGCTCCCTTTTTAGATTCAGCAAAAACAAATAACTTAGAGATTTTAGAATTTCTTTGAAAACATTTTCAGAAAACTATTCTCAAGTTTATTCGAGAGGACACAAACATGGTTAGCTATATTTTATTCTTATTTTTTTTTATAGATTTCAAAAACATAAATTGAAAAAATCTTTTTATCTTTTAGAGATTTGGGAAAGAAGAGGTTGGTCCTATGACTCATGAAAACAATTGATAAATGACAATATAAAGTACAAAAATAACTAATGTTAAGCTAAAATTTTGTAATAAAAAAATATATGATTAATAAAAACTAATGTTTAGAATACTTTTACCAAATTTGAGTCTTAATACTGAAATTAATAGAATTAGATTCTTTTTCTAATATGGTATTTTAAAGATTTAATTATTTATTATTACTATTAAAGGAAATAATTTTTTCTTATGATTCAATTTTTTTTAATATTTAACTGTAATAGTTATTTTATCAACTAAGAGTCTATTTAAAGAATAAAAAATCGATGCCTGTGTCTTAGGGTTCTTGAATTATAAATAGGAAAACAAACATATAAAAGTGAATATTCTATTTCATATTTAGCTGTGTTAAATAGTCAGAATTTTATTGTTAATTTGATTCCTTTGGATTATGTTCATTATTCTTATTATTATGCCAGTGTTTCTTTATTTTTGAACTACTATATGATATATATTGCTATCATATTTATATTTGCTTCCTTATTTGATCATACAAGCATTAAGTATTACTTAATGACTATTCCATTATTCAATATGATTTATATATGTAAGGTAAATTGCATAATGTTAGTGCTCTTTTTTATGTATTTATTCGAATTGAAGTGGTACATTTTGGATCGATTTTAGAGTTTTAAACATTATGACTTCTTACATAGTTTAAATAAAGAAGAGTTTATTAAACAAAACTTAGTTGATTTTAAAGTCCTAAAAATTTAAAAAAAATGACAATTTTGTCTTGTGTGAAATCTATTTTTAAAGGTCAAAATAGGCAAATGACATTTCGCTAAGGACATTCGTGCTTTTAATATATTACAGATAGATAATAGTTTTACTTGAAAATTTATGTTGAATTGTATATTGTTATAGATATCTTATTGTCCTTCTCAATATTGTTAACAAATTGATGAACTATTTTAAATTTTAATGTTTTGGGATTCAAAAGTTTAGAAGTAAAATATTATCGATGCTACAAAGGCCAGCTGCCTATAAAGTAAAAAGATATGACGAATGAAAATTCTTTGGTTGGCACCGGAGAGAAACATATAACTAAGAACCTCTAAAAATAGCATTTTTCCCTAGATAATGTGGAGTTGTATATATTAGTTACCCGTAATATCATGAAAAGAGAAAAGATCGGTAATATGTAGGTATTATAGTTATGTTATACAATTTAAATAAAGAAAGAACTTATTGAGAAAAGATCGGGTAATATGTAGGTATTATAGTTATGTCATACAATTTAAATAAAGAAAGAATTTATATAAAGCAAAAAATCTTCATAGATTTTAAAGTCCTAATACGAAAAGATTTAATAATTAAAATTTTAATTGATTTTAAAGTCTTAAATATTAGATGATTAACTAAATGACCGTTTTTATCTATTATAAGCTTTATTTTTAAAGGGTAAGAAAGACGAACGACATTTCGCTAAGAGCCTTCGTGCTTTTAATATAATATAGATATATAGATAGATAGAGTACGCGCTTTGCGCGTGTACCCTATCTTAATGAGTAAAAACTTATTTAAAATTTATCTTTGAGTTATCAAATAAAAGTATAAGTTCCTGAAAATGATGAATGATGATTGTATATAATTAACTCTATAATGAAACAATTGTCCAACATAAATACTTAATTATCAGTCAATAATTCAACTTAAAAATTATTTCAGTGACTGAAATTAGAATTCTGTATTTGGTTTTGCAGTATCAGTATTCAAGTGATATGAGTAATTCAATAGTATTAGCTAATGCCAAATTTTAAATATTTAACTGTAGTTATATTCTTTTCAATAGGATTTTTTTTTCAAATAATAAAAAATCAATTAGGTAGAAAAAGTCATCCATGAACGACATGTTCCCAGAAAGAAAAAACAAATAAAAATACTTTGTATATCTCAATCATTATATACAATAAATAAATTCTAAATCAAATGCAAAGCCATAATTGTCGTCAAGAAACCTACTTATATTCATCTAAATTTAATGTTAAAAATGTTAAGATATCTCATAAATTATCTTTTTGGAATAACTGATAATTGTTTCATATAAATCTGAGCGTACAAAGTTTATAAAAAGATTTTAACACCTATGTTATTATTCAAAACCTCATACTTCCTCTTTCTTTGATCTTTTTCATTATTCCCTTTATTTATTTTTTTATCATTTATATATAGTTAAATGCAAGATTTTGATAAGGTAAAATTTTAATAATTTTAAAGTTCTAAATATGAGGACTTTCAATATAGTTCATATAAAAAAGATTTAATATGTAAAATTTAGTTGATTTTAATTAAAATAATAATTAAATTACTATTTTTCTAAGCGCAAACTATATTTTTAAAAGGTAAAAAGGCTAAAAACATTTCGCTATGGGACTTTATGCTTTTAATATAGTATACATTATTGATAATAATTATTTAAAAATAATATTCAAAGTTGTATTTATATTTTAAATTAAAAATTAACAGACAATTATATGCTCCTTAAAATGATAAATACTAATCATAGATAGGGATTTGTACCTATTTTAGAAGATACAAAGAGGATCAACTAACTCGCAAAAGACATATTTTTCTCGCAAAGAAAATGCAAATTTTTCAATTTCTTTTATCAATAAAAAATAATATAAAAATTATTTTCAACATATTAGAAATGAAGAAATCACTATTTCTTCGTCTTGGAGAAAGCTTTCTTTTCTCTGCCCAATTATATATTAATGTATTTATTTGGATGCATCCAAATGTTGTCCTTTCACGGAGGAAGAATCAATAATTAAAATTGAATTACTTGCAGTTGACGGGTTCTAAAAGGACTATGTTAATAATATCATAGAAGGAGTACAAATATGAAATTTATATTAAAATTAGAATTACAATTTACTCTTTCAACCAAATCTCATGAATATAGTTTTTAGTTTTGTTATGTCTGTATAATCAGTTCTTATTTAAACTTGGATTAAAAGTAAGTATTATTTAATTAAAATAATATTTTAATTTTTATATTATTAAATAAAATTATGAAAAATAATTTACAAAAAAAGCTTTACATTTTTGTTTTCTAAAAAAATTTTGTATGAATTTTTTATTTTACTTTATTGATATGTATTAGTATGTCGGACCAATTTCCTGTTAGGGAATGCAAATGATCCGAATAACCTGTATAAAATTTGTAAAAATGTCAGTTTAAACTAATAATTATACATGAGATATCGTAAAAAAAAAATCATAACTGACATCCTTTTAATTTTCAATTGTCTATCAAAAATTCACTTTATTAATTTGCTTATACTTTATTTAAACATAAAAAATATTTCAAACTTACCTGCATATCTATAGTATATGTTTT